TACGACTTGTTAATTCCCAGAATAATACCCCTAGGTTATATATATCAGCCTTTTCAGTTAAGGTATATGAACGTCCTCGAGTTTCGGACGAATATAGGCTTCACTCAAAAAAATTGGGATCGTGTAAGGTATTACACCATATTCCTACCAATCGTACATATCAAGACATAAGGGATAAAGCTTATGGTTATAATAAAAAGTTATCGGGAGTACAATGAATTCTAAAAGTCAGGAATTAGTATTGGCAGTAAAATACGAAGTAAATTAAAAGATAATTATGAGTTTATTTTCTTAATAAATATTCATAATTGATTCAATTATAAAATCTAAAATATGAAATAAAAAACTTAATAAAAGCTTTAAACGTAAATATTTAATATACTTCTTTTTTATATAAGCGAGCGTTAGTATTGCTGAGATAAAGATACCATAAAGTACAGCAGATAAATAATAATAAACGACAACAAAGAATAATTTAAAAATATGGAATTATTGTCTGAAAATAAGATTATATATATTTTAATATATATACCCTGATTTTATTTGTAGTTGCCATAAAATTTATTTCATAAAATATTAGATTCACCTAAATTCGATTTTACCGGTTAAAAATTGTTATTTATATATTTTTTTATTGATAATTTATACTTTTAATAATTTAATTACTTTATTATATAATTATTTAAATTACAAACTAAGAATCTTGTAAAACATTTTTTTACTACTCTAGTCTTAGTGTTTAAATAATTCAAAATAAAGTATAAATAAATGATACCAATTTGTATGGCAAGCGGTAGTGGTCAAAAGTGCGTAGCAAAACATAGCGTGTACACGCTACAAAACATAGCGTATACACGTTATATTTCACGGCGGGTTACCCCTGTTCTGTTGGGTTAACCTGTCAATTTCAGGGGTAACCCGCCATAAAAAGCAACGTGTATACGCTACATAATTTAACGCGTATGCGCTTTATATTATAACGGTTTATTAATTTATTTTGGACCAAATTTTAAATTATTAAGGGATCGAATACCTGCCGTTTCAAATATCAGGTACCCGCCGTTCTACATATCAGGTACCCGCCGCTTCACATATCGGGTACCTGCCGCTTCACATATCGGGTACCCGCCGTTTCACATATCGGGTACCCGCCATTTTACATATCGGGTACCTGCCATTTAATTTTTTTAAAAAAAATTTTTTTTTTTTTTATTGGCTTTTTTTTATAAACAAATTTTGTAGAGAACTTTTATTTTTAATATAGGCAAAAGCTTTGTTTGATAGAATTTCATTGGGAATTTTTTTAATAAGAAGATTTTTTTTGATAAAAAATTTCGTTAGAAAATTTTTTTCATTGATAGGGACATTTCTGAGTTTTTTTTTTTTAATGGATAATTTCATTAAAAGCTTTTATTTGATAGAAATTTCATTGGAGAATTTTTTTTAATACTAGGAGGGAGTTTTCTTGATAATGAATTTCTTTTGGGAATTTTTTTTAATAGGTGAAAGTATTTTTTGATGGAGAATTTTATTAGAGAATTTTTTTTAATAGGGGAATTGTTTTTGATAGAGGATTTTATTAAAGAATTTTTCTTTAATAGATTTTGCTGAGAATTTTTGTAAGATTTTTTTTTTTTTTTTTTTTAG